CCCAACTCCTCATAAGACTTGTGCTGCAGACCCTTCTCCAGCTCTGTTGCCCTTCTCTGGATGAGCTCCAATACCTCCATGTCTTTCTGGCAGTGAGAGGCCCAAAACTGAACACATGATTCAAGGTGCAGCCTCACCAGTGCTGAGTACGGGGGGACAATCCCTGACTTGGTCCTGCTGGCCACACTATTGCTGATAGAAGCCAGGATGCCATTGGCCTTTTTGGCCACCTGGACACACTGCCGGCTCATTTTCAGCCACTGTCAACTAGCACCCCCAGGTCCTTTTCCACCAGTCAGCTTTCCAGCCACTCTTCCCCCAGCCTGTAGTGCTGCATAGGTCTGTAGGACTCCACACACTTTTGACCCAAGTGCAGCACTCAGCACTTGGCCTTGTTGAACCTCATACAGGTGGCCTCAGCCTACCCAGATCCAGCAAACAACACAACACAATATATATTCATTGCCATTTATATGTGCTAGCCTACCCAGATCCAGCAAACAACACAATATATATTCATTACCATTTATATGTGCTGTAGCATTCTGACAGCAAGTAAGAAAGAAGCTGCACTGGGCTTTATGGAAGGGACTGCAGTAATTAATCTTCATTAGCATTGCTGCCATGGCCTTGTGAATTAAAATTTATTACATGGAAAAAGTTTGGGGCACAGCATGTTTGATTAGCAAAATGCCAATATTTATGGGATAAATTATTCCTCTCTTTTCTGGTATTTTATTAGCAGATTCATTCGTTATTCCTGCATTTCTTTGGGAAAGAGATTGTGTGCTTTATTGCAGCCTGGAAGCAATGGCAAAGGCAGTTTGCTTCCAGAGCAGTGCTGGTAAACCTAGTCTGCAAAGCATGCTCTGATAACTGGAGCAGAGCCTGGCTAAAGATCTCACTGTACCACATTTAAACAGCAGCAACTTGGCTGTGGGGGCTGCACATTTCAAATGGCTGATTCTCAAGCACTTAAAACCCTTAACAGCTTGTTAAGACATAGCTTGATGCTCAGATGCAAGTTAAATACTAACAATTAAAAGCTTTCTGTTTTGTCCTGGTATTACCTCAAAATACACTTGTGAGGTTATTTTTTAGTAGTTAAGTTAGAGTTTCTTGGCATATAGCTATCAGGGTCATAGTTAGATCCCTTGTTTCCCGATGCCGTTCATACATGCTGGCATTTGTTTCAGGGACAGTATTCATAAACCCTGCTTTAGTGTCCAAGTAATAAACATTACCTACCATTACCTACCAAATGATAGCATTTTCCTTTGTTGTTACAGCTGAGCAAATAGTGACCACATAAATTACTGTGCCCATTGATAAGTCAGCTGTTGGTACCTCCTCACCTGTGCAAACACGAAGTAAATCCTTTCATCAGGCAGCTTCAGACCGTATGGGTCATTTAGGTGGCTGAGAAGCTAAATTGCACCAGATGGTAAAAGGAAGGAATTGTAATCCAGCTGCACATGCTGCTTTTTAAGTGTTGTAAGTGGAAGACAAAAAGATTCACTGGCTTTGGTTTGGATCTGAATTGTGGGGGGTTGCTTTCTAACTGCATTGTTCTGCTGCAGAAGAGTTCACCTTAGAATATAACTCTGTTTTATTTTGGCTATTTGTGGACACCAGCTGGTAGTGCATCAGTTTGTGTTTGTGAGGAATAAGGGGCCATTTATGTCCATGGGAAGTGACCAATGATTAAAAGATTGGCTCTGCAGGGTGGACTGAGAGGCCTTCAATTAATGGAGACCAAGGAGGAACTTGTTTGACGTAAGTGGAGAAGTCATCCCTGTATAGCTTCTTTTGCACACTCAGCCATTTCACATATGCACCTGAGAGTTACACCTATTATATCTCCTCCAAAGAGCTTTCTGTCCGAACAGCTAGGGAGAAGCAACCCAATAGAGTGCAGTATACCTCTGGGCATCATGATGCCACACATTTTCCATTCTTCCTTTTAAAATTGCCTCTTTCACCATTTGTAGAAGCTACATCTCTGATTGCTCCTCGAGAGTAGTACATTTCCTCTCCACATCACCCATACCACTGCTGGTAAAAGTTCATCCTGCAGGAACAGGCTCAGGGGTTGGATTTGCTGATTTCCAGAGGCCCCTTTCAACACAAACCATTCTATGGACGGGCAGTCTGTCTTCCTTCTGCTTCTCAAAATTAGGAACATCTTACTTGCACATTTCACACGATTCTCTGCTTATCTTCCTAAGTTGCCTTTATCAAATACTGTTTTGCTTCTACTTTTTGTGCATCATGAAAGCACGAATCTTTAGCTGTCTTCATTGCTCAGTGGCTTTGCTGCTGCTGCTTCCTGTGTTACACATTCCTCTTTATTCACCCCTCCAGCTCACAGCCTAGTAGGGGTCAAATTAGCATGTAAATACACCTGTTGATGCGTAGATATATCTTTAGTTTGCACTACTAATCAAGCACCATGTTTCCTCAGTAACAGAAAGAAACAGCTTGACTCAGCTTAATCATCCCCCAAAACCTATGATGAAAATTAGTCATAATTGTGTAGATGTGCTTTTGTTTATGGAAAGAATAGGAAACCTCACAGTTCCTTCTAAATGTTGTATGTAACTGTTACACCTTACAGACATCTAGGCTTATGGGCCTCTTAAACTTCAAAACTGATTATAATTTTCAGTATTTCAAGTCTGCTGTTTCATAACTTGTGAGATTTCTGCATTGTTTAGTTGCTAAGATGTTTTGAGCTAATGTCCTAGATGAAGCATTAGTCAATTATGAATGCAGCTGGGCTTCAGAGTCCGTTCAAAGGCAGGAAATAGCTTGTTTGCAGAAGAACCAGCTAAAGTGCTTTTATTTAATGAGGCCTTCCTTATGCTTTTAAAATCTGTCTGCAGTCTGCCCTGATCAAAGTGAACACCGTGGAACTCCAACCCAGACCCACACTATCCATTTGGAAAAGTGAGAATACTTAGTGCTTTAGTGTGTTTGCTTATATTTCATATAGCTTCAGCATTTATGGAATACCTTAAGCACTACAGAGAGGAATATGAGAGTACTTTCCCCAGAAAAGGAATAAAATGTTGGTAGGAAGCCGTGAAAAGTTGCCCCCATACAAATGACAGCTCAAAGCCAGAAAAGTTGCTATATCTTTTGAATTACTGAAAGAATGAGTATTTGGTGCAGACATCAGCTGTTCATAGAATCATAGAATGGTTTGGGTTGGAAGGGACCTTCAAGATCATCTAGTTCCAGCCCACCTGCCATGGGCAGGGACACCTTCCACTTAGACCAGGCTTCTTTACACTAAGTATTTCTCTTGGGGATGCAGGTAGAGTGTTTTGTTGGTTTTAATTGTGGAAACGCAGGGTGTTTCTTACAAGATTTCCCCCCTTTGTCTGTGCTGTAGTGAGTAGGCAGAAGGTGACAGGTGGGATAGATAAGAGAGGGAGAAAGGTCACGCATCTACAGTCTACCTGCACAAGGACATCCAATCTCATGTTAGTCCTTTATCTCAACGGAGAGGCAGCCAGAAAGCAGAGTGTACGAGCTTCACTGTGCTGCCAATCCCTAGAGAGGATTCAGGATCGTCTTGGAAACTGCCATGTTTTGGAGTTAGTGTTTGGATTAGGCTGGTTTCCAGGGAGTGGTGAAAACAGTGTTTCACCAACTGTTAACTGGTCCTATTAATGGAAAAAGTAAGGTGGGTGACTGAAGGTGGTTTTGAATTGGGCATTGGGTTCCTCTGCTGTGTTGGTTCCAAGGACAGTATTCCCCAATTATAGCTATTTATTGTAACTGCTGTTTTCTACTTGTTAAGTCTCTCAGCAGTATTTCTGAATGAAACATTTCACAAGCATTGCATTTACACTTAAGCAATTATAAAAATTATGGCAATTACAAAATTCTTATTTGAGACTTTTCTTTTTTTTAAGCAAATTGGCTTTTCTAGGTAGAAAGTTGCAAAATTTTAATTGCAAATGTGAATTTAACCAGCTATTTTAGAAAAGCCTAAACTCAGTCTTCGAGGTCCTGTTTTGATTTTCGTTAGATTTTAAAAAATGCAAACATGAAGAAATGAGAGTGCCATTTTGTTTCAGTTAGCCTGTTTGGAGGGGATGGTTTGGGGGTACACAAGAGGTTGCATTCTACTTTTCTTGAGTATAAATTCTACCCCATGGCATCGTACAACCTGCTCTCTATAACCTGGTACACAGATATATATTAGAATAGATTTTAATAGGTTAGATTAATCTTAGGTAAGATGATTTATAGGTATTTTTCTATGTTTTGGACAAAAATTACATGAAGTTGCATGAAAGTTCCGTCTTTCCTCCTGTTGTTGCCGTGAGGCCATGTGGTAGAAGTCAAGGTGCTAGAACAGATAAACAACTGTTTCATCCAGATCAAAGACTGCAAAAGGCAATTCAAATCTAAAGAAAACCAGTAGAGGAAATAGGAAGTCACCAGGGAAAATTACTGGGTTTGGGCTTTTCCTCTTCCTCTTGTGGCAATGAGGTGGTTAATACCTTCCAAGGAAAACTTCTGAAAGAAGAGGAAAGAATGATCGAATTAGATTGTCCCAAATCAAAGCCATATTAAATGTAGGATTCAGCAATGAAATGACAGTTCTCATATTTTTATTTTTGTTGCATATTTATTTTAGACAAGATCTTGAATGCATGTCAGGGTCCACTGACACATCGCTAAATCAGTTTTGTTAAGTTGTCTGTTGCTGTATTAGGCAGCAAATATTAGATAAGACTGATAGCAATATCTTGGTACACTGTAATCAATTAAGACAGCAGAACATCCACCACTGCCTTGGCCTGAGAGCAGTTTCAATTTAGACATTCTGAGTTCATCTGCTTCCATTGGTTCAACCTTCTGAATTGTAATTTTGTTTGCTCTTATCTTGACATAATTTTGCCTTGTTTAAAAGGAATTGTTTGATTACATGATGATATCGATTGCCACAGTTGTTAAAAAGACTAATTGATTTGTTTCTGCAGTGAACTTGAGGAGGAAAGTGGAAGAAAGAAGAGAAGCTATAGCAGCAGTACTGCAGCACAAGAAATACCACTGAAAAGAAAGAAGGTGAAATTTGGCCAAGAGGAGGACTCCTATGTGCCATTAGATACTGGGCTTTCTCTGGCAGAGGATGAAGAGCTTGTACTGCATCTGATCAACAGTCGCAGCTAATTATTTTGATGCACGTTTTCTTCTCTGGGACTTCTCCACAATTTTGTCAGTAGTTTACACAAAATGGATTTGGCATCCGGACAGCTGAGTACCAGTGGGCATAGATAAATGGCTGCCATGTGCAATGGGATTGCCTTAGATTGGCTCATAGATTATAGGCAATATTCAGTTTGATTTATAAGGATTTCTGAAAGAACTTTTCAACCTAAATCCCCAGATGTCACTTTGCAGTAACACGTTCATAATTTAAAATCTTCCAAGTTTTGAAGCAATTATCTTCTTTTACTTTAATCTTGCTTTAAATGAAAACAGGATGTTCCTTTCTTGACTGTGTCAGGTTTGTTAATTTGGAAGATATATGTGTACTAAAATTCCGAAACAAGAAACACTGTTGGCAGCTCAAATCACATTACTTAGAAATAAAATGTGTGCTTTCTTCTGTGCCTCATGCACATATTGTAAAAATATTTTAATAAAGATTCATGGAGCCTTGATGTAAACTTATGGTGTCTGCTTCAGCTTTGTTATGAAAGCATTTGTTTATCCTCCAGTTACCATTTCTGTTACGAATCTGTCAGTGGTGGTAGGCAATTCAGAAAACCACTTTTAGAAGCTAAAACTGAGTCTTGCATTTGAATCCCACACGAATGAGAGCACAGTGATGTCACAAAATGGTAGAGCATAACACTGCCTGATAAAATTGGTTGCAAGGTAGATTTTGTGACAGACTTACAATTGGAAGTGAGTTACCATTTTTTTGTTATGACCAAATGGAGTGAAGAAAAATAATTTACAGTTCAGCATGTTTTCAAGTTCCATCCCATAGTAAATTTCATACCAAATTCTTCGTTATTTAAGTAGATTTTCTTCTATTGCTTGCCTCCAGATTCCAGTTATGAGCTAAATTCCTTGTCTTCTTGCTTGCATTCTTGACTACCACCTCAAGAATATTGGCACATTGTTCAGAAAGAAAAGCATGGATAATCCTTGCAGGCTATATGGATAATGATGAAAACTGCTGAGAGTTTTACACATCTCTGAAACAACCTTAGAAAAGGGAAGGCTCCTGTGTGAGAAAACAAAGGAGAGCAGGAAAATCCAGTGCTTGCTCACACAATTTTTCTGACAGCCAACAGGCATGTAAGGTGATGATCATCTGTTTTCAGGAGACCTGTGCCGTAGTGGAGTTTACATGGGAAAATGGAGGGTAAGACACTGAGCCTAAGGGCTTTCCTCTATTGCTTGCCTTCAGCAAATCATGAAGTACTATTTGCTCTTCCCATATGAACATACTAAATACTCCTTTTTTTCAGTATCACTTTTTCCTTAATGGTTGTTTTATTATTTTGGGGTTTTTTTGTCACAGAAATCTGTCAGCTCCTATTTGGTACGAGCCTTTCTTCCTCTCCCTATACCCTATGCTATCTTTCAGCTCAGTTACCCAAAACTGGAAATATACTACAAATTCTTGTCTTCAGATGCTGCTTCCACTCTTCTGCCAGCAGGCAGGGTATCACAAAAGCAATATCATAGGCAGAGCACATCTGCCATCTGCTCCTTCTTGACAATGTGGAACGAGAAGAAATGACCGAGTTTCACAAACAGCTAAACATGAAAGATGGGACCTGCTTGGCAGCTGATGCACAGTGTTGTTTAGTTTACAGTGCCACAGCAGGCCTGGAAAATGCCGTGATCTGGGAATAGCATCACTGATGAATCTGTTAATGAAGAAGGATCAGTTGTGGTGCTGTTGTGACTGGTGCGCGTGTCCCATGCTCTATAATGTGCACGGCTGCAGTGAATGTGATGAGCCACATCAACAAATGCCTCTGTGCTGGGATAGCAGAGGTCATGTTCCTGCAGTCCTGGAGGAAGGTGGCAAACTGCAGTGCAAGGAGCACCACCAGCAGAAAGCTGTTCAAAGATGATTTGGATACAGGTGATAATATGTATGGTGGTATGTACATCTTGGAGGTATAGTGTACTCTGTGGTGGTGAGTTGTCTTGTACATCACCTGATGTTTCTCTACTCAAAACTTTGCTCTGAGAAGTATGAACATTGTCGGGACAAGCAAGTGAAAAACCAAAATATTTACTGTTTCTTATTAGAATATTCTTATTTGTATGCTGGAGTGTGAAAGAAATATTTGTACCCACTGAACAGTAAGACTAAAAATTAAATTATGCATATTAAAAGGATTGTGCTGCATTTCTAATCCTGTGACGTTTTCATTGTCTGCATAAAAATAATTTTTCAAGTGCTTTTATTTTCGTACTTTGGGGTAATGAAGTTTCTAATGTATTTGTGTTGCCTGATGTAGAGCCACTGTTTCTTGAATCCTTACGAAATTTGCCCACCTACTTAAAACTTGGCTGTCCCTGGGGGGATGGCACATACCTAGAGTGTGACTCCCACAAGAATGAAGCTGTGTGAAAAAGAAGAGGGAAGGGGCTTAAGACAGATGCTCCATGCCATGAGTGTATCTCAGAATGGGTAACTGCTGCATGTGCTGGAAACAAGACAAAAAAAGCCAGTATTCAGCATTTTGAAGCAATAGCTGTGGTTCTGGGTTATCATTCCCATGAGGTGTAGACCTGCTTTAAGAGACTCCTTACCAGCCCTACTTTTAGCAGTGCTTCTGGTGTAAGAAAAAACCAAAACCAAACCAAACAAATATCAATCTCAGAACTGAATTGACTGAAGAGTGTTTCCCAGGGACCTCTCAACCTGCTGCTAAAACACCTGACATGTGTGTCCAGGGCTAATGGGCAGGGGGAATGGGGCCAGCTGGGGATGCCACCCATCATCCTTTTCCTTTGGTCAGCATGTGCCACTGCAGTATCAGAACAAATCCCAAGCTTTTGCAAGCTTGTACTTCACAAGCATTATAGGAGAAATGGCAATGTGGAATCATTTGGCATGCCTCTAATCAAAGACTTCATTGATGACTTATATAGTTGAACCCACAACTCCTAAATCACTTGTGGTTTAGCAAGAGCAGCCTCCCGCTTGGCATCTGAACTTCCTTCTGTGCAGGACTCTGACCTTCAAGTGTTGTGCTGTATGCTGCTGGGATGAGTTTCGGGCTTCTTCCCCCCAGAGGTTGCAGCTCTGTCCACTTTGGAGACTCCTTCAAGAGGGGTAGAAAGGTCTGAGTAGAGTGGTGAGTATTTTCTGAGGGCATTGGCCAGACAACATCCTGAAATCGCCTAGCAGGAATTCTTGTTTTAAAGATTGCATATTCAGATTAGTTTACATTTGTACTTTATATTAGTAGTGGTTGGTTTCCTTCTGCTACTACAATAGTTCTAGTGTGTTGATTTATAGCTGGGTATAGTGTTCAGACAGTGTCTAGTACCTTTAGATAATTCTCAAGATAAATATTATAGAATGGTATGGTATAGTGGGCTTTTATTCCGAATCAATTTTTCTCTTTGGTGCATACAAAATAATGGAGACATTTGTTTACCAGATAATTTATTACAATTTCTCTGAAGCCTCTTTGGATGAAATCTGGAAGTCAGGTAAAACTCATGAGAGCATTGAAGAGTTCAGGTGTTTTAGATTAGTTGAATAGACTGACACTAAATGTGCTAGCTGTTGAAGATTTCCACCTTGCAGTATTTTCATGAGGCATATAAAATGTGTCATTGCAGAGATACCATTTTACCTGAGCATCATAGAAGTTTCTGTTCAGTGTTCACTTTGTAAAGACTGTATTGATGCAGCACATTAAATTGTGGAGTATAAGAAATATAGTCTCTGTAAATTAATCTTAAACATCTTAAATGGGTATTTTTCTTTATTATATGAATAGAAATAAAAAATATTTTTTTAGTCCTCCTGCAACTCTCTGAGTCCAGCTAGAGCACTGACTGGTGTGTCTTGCTGTCTGGCCATACTCATAAAGAGAAATGCCTGAAGCAAAACATTAAAAAACAGAGAACTGTGGTAGAGAACATTCAATTCAGACTATAAAAAATAGTACAAGATCTGAAGATACAGAAGTGACCCTGTGGGTTCCTATAATCCTGGATACATATGACAAAACTGATATAAAATATGAGAAGGAAATGTCTCTTAGTAAAGGTTGCTAATGGGTATTTTTCTTTATCGTGCTGCTCTCTAGTTTGACCTGATTGATGCTTCTATCCTGTGGGAGACTGAGTATGCCTTGTAGCAGGGATGCTGAGCCATGGTAGGCTGCAGCTGCTGCAGAAATGGCCACTGTGGCTCAAAATGTTGCTGCTTTTATGCTGGAGGTCACTGCCCCAGCCATAACCTCCCTGTGGCTAATAACCTGAGGTTTAAATTAAGCTGGTCGGTTCTGTCCTGAAGCAGATGAATCCTTATGCTGTCCATTTTGATAAAAGGGCAGAAGACTGGTGGCAGGCAGCTGAAGGACAGAAACACTTTCCTGTGCAGCAGCCACTTCGATTGGTAATTTAATAGGGACCTTAAGCAGAGCAGAGCCAAACCTTGAAACCTTCAAAATCCAGCATGCTTCAAGCTGAAGGATCCAGAACACATCTTAACTCCAAGAGAAATCCAATTTCCAATCAATAGTTTTAGTAGGAAAAGACTATTGCCTTGACTATTGGACCACATTTCATTAGATTTCTTTGTTATATTGCTCTCTTCTTTGGTGGTTGCAGCTCCTCTGAATTTAGTCTCATCCTTTCAAATTAATGTTTCAATTCTCAAAAGGATCTGCAAGTTTTATCTTTAAACGGTTGAACTAGATGCCAGAAAAGTGCATTGCCGTCATCTTTGTAACTCATAAAAATTGCTACAAAGTCTTTAGTCAGTACCACGTGAACATTTTATAATGGAGTAGTGAACACTTATGTAATGACGTGCTCCCCTAACTTCAAAGGCAAATGAGTCAGTCAAGAACATCAAGGAATTAGAAAGCCTAATGCAGAAGATTCTTTTCAGGCCTGTTAGGAGGTATTGCTGCGATTAAATCAGTAGAGAGAAGTTGATCTGTTCCAAGAAT